GCAGAATTTATTGAACATAGTTTTCATACTTTTTTCATAAGTTTGTATTAATTTCAGTCAAAATAAATGAATAATTATATTTAGCATTTTATTAATTTATGGTTGTGAAATATAGCATGAGTGTCTTTTCCTGTCCGAACGAGGCTCGCACTTCTAAACAATAGTTACTTTGTTTTTAATTTGCAGTTATTTAAATCTAAAAGAAACAATTACTCATCATTGAAATTTCTTCAATACACAAAATAAATTATTGATAAATTTTGGAATAAGAATGAAAAAAATATAAGTTTAAACCTTGTTTTTATATTTTAGTACAAATTTAATTACGATGATCTAACAGATTTTTTTTTAGTAATTATTAAGTTGTTTTTTATAATTAAAGAAAAAGAAAATATAATATTTTCTTGTAATAAGAGAGTCAGAAAAAATATGCATATAGGGGACAATCGTGTCCCGTCTGCGTCAAAGGGTTAAAATTGAATGCTAACTAACATAACAGAATATTAAAAAAACATGACAGAATATTCGTAAAACATGACAGAATATTCATAAATTGAAAATACCATTGAGAAGTAAGTTTTTTACCGATGTCCTATCTTAACTAACGGAGTCAAATTTTCAGAATTGCAGCTATTTCTCATGTTTTTATGGACACCTGTCTGATTTCGTTCTGAATTCGATCCGCTTTAAGATTAAAATCCTGACTGCTCTGTGACGGGTATAGTTAAAAGAGACCTCTTCTTTCGCGATCTAGTTCAACCGCCAGAGGACAGTGGGTAAAAGAGAAAATGTTTTATATGGTTTATTCATTTTCATTTAATTTTCAAAAATAAACTTATTATAATTTGTTCATACTCATTATCATTCCAGTAGATCACTTCCGCTCAATTAAAGAGATTTTTAATTGAAATGTAAAAATATTACAGAGATTAATTTAACCTTTTGACGCAGGTGCGACACTGGTGTCCTTTTTACATATTTTTTCTAACGCTGTAATTACAAGAAAATGTGTTTTGGTGTTTCTTAAGTACAAAAAATAGTCTAATAGTAACTAAAAAAATCACTAGATAATCGAAATTTTATTAGTCTTAATTAAATAATTTTTATTAAAACGTAAAATATTACAGAGCTGAGAGCCTTTTGACGCAGATGGGACACCGTTGTCCCATTTATAGATTTTTTTTTCTGACCCTAATACTATTTCAATTACAAGCATATATATATTTTCGCATTTTTTAATTATAAAAACCAGTCTAATAGGAATTAGAAATTTAAATTATCGGAATAATATTTGTAACTAAAATATAAAATCTAAAAAAAGTAGTTTAAAAAAAAAATTTNAAAAAGAAATTAAACTAAGTTTTGAAAAACTGAAACCAGACGCGATTGCTGCCTTATTATTAGATAGAGGTAATTCTTAAGTGGAAATTAATTATATAAAAATTTATGCTTTTGGTATTCGATAAATAAGGAATTAATTAATTTAAAAATGCTCGTTCGGTGCTATGTTAAGTCATACATTTATTCAATTTCAGATATTTCAACAGCTTTTAGTAAATAAAGCACATAAATAAAATAAGTTGGAAAAACGTAATTTATTTTGAATATATATCTCGATCTTTAAGTTGTTTTATTATTTACTTTAAATATTTTATAGTCCAATTTTAAAAAAAAAAGAAATTAGTTAGAATGAAAGAAAAAGGTTCTTCAAGCTCACCTATAAACAATAGTTGTTTTTTTTAAATTTGCAGTTATTTAGATCTAAAAGAGACAATTATTAATCATTGAAATTTCTTTAATATACAAAATCAATTATTGATAAATTTTTGAAGAAAAAAAATTTAAAAAAATCATTTAAAACTTAATTTTTTTTTTTAATTTTATATTTTAGTACAAATTTAATTGCGATAAATCTAACAGATTTTTTAAGTAATTATTAAGTGGTTTTTTATAATTAAAAAAAAACATTTTATTATATGGTTTTTTTAAAATTAAAAAAATATAATTTTTACTTGTAATTAGAGAGTCAGAAAAAATATACATATAGGGGACAATCGTGTCCCGTCTGCGTCAAAGGGTTAAAATTGAATGCTAACAAACATAGCAGAATATTTAAAAAAACATGACAGAATATTCATAAATTGAAAATACCATTAAGAAGTAAGTTTTTCACCGATGTCCTATCTTAACTAACGGAGTCAAATTTTCAGAATTGCAGATATTTCTCATGTTTTTATGGACACATGTCTGATTTCGTTCTGAATTCGATCCGCTTTAAGATTAAAATCCTGACTGCTCTGTGACGGGTATAGTTAAAAGAGACCTCTTCTTTCGCGATCTAGTTCAACCGCCAGAGGACAGTGGGTAAAAGAGAAAATGTTTTATATGGTTTATTCATTTTCATTTAATTTTCAAAAATAAACTTATTATAATTTGTTCATACTCATTATCATTCCAGTAGATCACTTCCGCTCAATTAAAGAGATTTTTAATTAAAATGTAAAAATATTACAGAGATTAATTTAACCTTTTGATGCAGGTGCGACACTGGTGTCCTTTTTACATATTTTTTCTGACCCTCTAATTACAAGCAAATGTGTTATGGCGTTTTTTTAGTACAAAAAAATAGTCTAATAGTAATTAAAAAATCACTAGATAATCGAAATTACATCAGTCTAAGAGATTTTTTTATTAAAACGTAAAATATTACGGAGCTTAGTTTAAACCTTTGACGCAGATGGGAAATTTATAGACTTTATTCTGACCGTAATACAATTTCAATTACAAGCATATATATATTTTCGTATTTTTTAATTATAAAAACCAGTCTTAATAGGGACTAAAAAAACTAAATTATCGGAATTATATTTGTACTGAAATATGAAAGCTAAAAAAAGTAGTTTAAGAAAAAAAATATTTTTTTCTATATTCAAAAATTTATCAATAAATTATTTTGTAAATTTAAGAAATTTCAATGATGAATAACTGCTCCTCTTAAATCTAAATAACTGGCAAATAAAAATAAATTTAAAAAATTATTGTTTGGAAGTGAGCCTTGTTTGTAAGAGTCTACCTTGAACGTAGAAAAAGATACCAGTGTTCCATGCTGTGTTTAATAATTGCAAATTATTAAAATATTGAATATAATTATTTTTCACTTATTTTGACCTAAATTTATACAAAACAATGATAAATATGTTTAATAAAAATTCTGCGTTAAAAGGTTAACAAGGGTGTAAGTTTCATTGAAATCAAGAAATTAAGATGGAAGGCTGCAGGCCCGTTAACATTTAGGGACCGAATTACATGGTTTATTTTGAAAGAATAAAAAATGTATTACTATTCATTAAAAATTGAACCAAGGTTGGTTAATTAACGAAAGAATATTAATTATTTTTAAAATATTTAGAGAATGAGTGAAGAATAAAATGTTTTCTTTGTATAGTTTTATCGATATTAGTCTTCAAAAATCGGTTTTTATGTCAGACAGTTGAAGTCACGTGTCTGGCTGGAGTCGCATTCAAGCCTAGTTCTAAATTCGATTTTAATGCATACAAAAACTGAAAATGAATGAACTCAAATGTGGTTTACATTTACATAAAAAGGAAGAAAATTAACGTTGAGAATGGTTATTAGCAATACATACTTTTTTTTGTTCAATTCAGATATTTTTACTCGATTTGAAATACTAATGGAATTTTTATTAATGAATATCCTTTTCATAATTCATTTATCATATTGTTATTCGAAAAAATATTCGTTTAAAATTTCGTTCTTCACAACCATTAAATAAATAACGGATTATTAATTGCACATGTAACTTTAATTACGGTTTCTAAAAACATTACTAGCAAAACATTCTTTAAAATTTCTTTCTTCACAACCATTTCAATTAAATAATTTGATAAAAATATTGGATATATTAAATAAGTAACGGATTATTAATTGGATATACAAGTTTAATTACAGGTTTCTAAGAATATTCGTTTAAAATTTCTTTCTTCACAAGGCATTTCAATTAAATAATTTGATTACAATAATAGAAATATTAAATAAGTAACGAAATATTAATTGGATATATAAGTTTAATTACTGGTTTCTATAAATATTCGTTTAAAATTTCTTTCTTCTCAAACATTTCAATTAAATAAGTTGATAAAAATAATGGAAATATTAAATAAATAAGCGATTATTAATTGGATATATAAGTTTAATTACAGGTTTCTAAAAATATTCGTCTAAAATTTCTTTCTTCACAAGCATTTCAATTAAATAATTTGATTAAAATAATGGAAATATTAAATAAATAACGGATTATTAATTGGATGTATAAGTTTAATTACAGGTTTCTAAAAATATTCGTCTAAAATTTCTTTCTTCACAAGCATTTCAATTAAATAATTTGATAAAAATAATGGATATATTAAATAAATAACGGATTATTAATTGGATATATAAGTTTAATTGCTGGTTTTTAAAAATATTCGTTTAAAATTTCTTTCTTCTCAAGCATTGCAATTAAATAATTTTAAAAAAATAATGGAAATATTAAATAAATAACGGATTATTAATTGGATATAAGTTGAATTACAGATTTTGAAAAACATAACTAGTTATCATAACTAACTCTCGGAAACCCTGTAACCCTTTCTCGGAACCCTAGGGTTCCGCTGAACACCATATGGAAACCGCTGCTGTAAGAAAATGGCCATTAGCTTGATTGTATGGGCTTATAAATAACAAAATGTATAGATTCTGTGATTCTAACTACAAATAAACTCAATGAGAAATGAACGTACGCATAAAGCACAAGTAAAAAGAAATCCTTGTGTTTACTGACCCCACGCTAACCTTTACTGTTGCATTTATGTAAGCAAAGCCCTTTATTAGAATTTTTTTCTGAGTTTATCAGCAGATGACTGCATAAAAGAAATGAAGTTTGTGAGAAGTATACTACCCACGACCTTATAAAAGGGTTTAAAAAAAAGAATTGAACTTACCGAGTTGGCGACTTTTTGGAGCGATTCGGAGACTTAGACCTATGTCCATGTTTCTTGGATCCAGACGATGAATCAGTGTCTTTGCTTTCAGTAGATGTCCTAGTAACAAGTTCGTTACGCTTTCCACCATGGTGATGGTGGTGGTGATTTGAGATCTTGTTCAAGTGTTGACTTGATCTGTTCAAATTCTGGCACGACCGGTTCAAATTTAAATTTTCCGGTGATAACGACAAGAAGTTTTTGTTAGGTTCGAATCTAATAGATGGCTCATCTAATGAGTGAGGTTTATTATTCTCATCTGTTGATAATTTTAATTTCTTTCTATCTAAAGACATTGTAATAAATAATTTTTTTTTTTAGAGAAAATAAATGTTACTTAATTAAAAATTTGTGGATTCGCTTTTTAATGAGTACCTTATTAATTAAAAAGTCACTTTTTATCTATTTCTTTTCAGTCATTATCACTTTTCCGTAATTTATTTATCACTATCTGCTCTCATTATTACTTTCTAGCAATTAGTTCATTACTGTTTAACACAAGCTGGCTTACCAAAATTTTCACTCCTTATTGTCACTGTTCCAATTTATCATCAATATATTCCCTATTAATTATTACTATCCAATTTGTGATCAGTTTCTTGCAACTAGTCTCAGTACAAATCACTATCATCAAAATAGTCAATATTAGCTGTTATTAATCCAATTCATTATCATCACTTTAATTCATTATAAGATATTATCCAATTTACAAGCAATTTCTAACAGCTTTTTTCAACATTGTTGGTCTTAATAGAATTCACTGTCATCTATTTTGTTTCATATAAGTTGTTATTTTCTGATATACTATTGGCAATGCCAGATACCTGGTGACTATTATTATTCTATTCCATGCGCCACTACCTCTGTCACTTAATAATTCGCCGTTGCCATTCACTACCAATAATAATTATCATTATTCCATCAACAAAATAACTAAGCTTAAAGCTTACAAGCAAATGTTTCGTTTTGCTGTTTTAAAAACCTTATTATAGTTTCATCTCGGAAAAACAAATTTCAGTTTGTAAAAAGTAACGCAATATTAAGAATATGTTTTAAACGTTAATTTTTGTTTCAGATATTACAAAATACCTATTTTAGGAATGAGTATGAATGTTGTTGTTTTATTATTATCAACAAATCAAAAAGAATGCTCATAAAAATTCCACCTTTAAGAATTTTTGTTAATTTTGGGTTGATAGTAAGTTTTATGGAATTTCTTTTATCGCATATAAAATTTTTTATTCTTTAATCTCACATCTTCAAACATAAAAACGGGCATAAAATAAGTTAACTTTAAGTAATAATGTAAGCTATTCTTATATAACAAGGAGAGAAATATCTTGAAAAAAATAATTTCTGCTTATTAATGAAGATAATGAATAACTTATAATTGAAAGAAAAATTATTAACAATTATTAAATCTATCTTATTTTAAATCTTTATAAGCAGTACTTGTACTTGCTTCATTCTTTAACTCATTCGAATCCTTAAAATAAATAAACAAGTGCTTAAAATTCATAAAACATTCAAAATTCTACCTAAACATAATAAATTAATAACCTTACCCACTCACAACTATATTTAAATCTAGATTTATCTTTTTATTCATTTAATAATCATGTAAATTATTCAACGATGATTTTGTCCACTTGAGAGCTAATTAGAAAAATAAAAGCAAATTTTGATTTCTTTTTTTTTTTTAACTTTTTAGATTAATTTTATTAGACTTAATCATGTCTAATAAAAGTTCAGTTTATAAAATCATATTTCATTTTGAATCATTATTTTAGAAGATATTTTTAATGATGATTATTAGTAATGGTATCTAAAATACTTTATAGGAATAACTTCCAATACCTGTTTTTGAATAACAAATATCTAAAATGTACTATGACCTTATATAAACATTTTATAGGAATTTAATATCTTAGAACAACCTTTAGGCATTGTCATACACAATAAGCACCTATCTTCATGAGCATTAGCATTTATAATTATGATTTATACTTTACTTAAAATACCTTTCACCATAAACAGATTTCATCTTTTTTTATTTAAGATAATAAAATCGTTTGCATTATATCTTTCTTTTTATCGTCTGCGTCATATTTTTATGTACATCGTTTGCAATATATTTTAATGTATGTCGTTTTCATTATATTTTTATATATATCATTTGAAAAATAACATATCGTTTGCATTTACAGTTTCATAAAATACTTATCTTTACATAACCATGTGTTTAAACTTCTCCAAAATTGAATACATTCATACTATCTATGAAATAACTGAATAATAATGCGATACAATCAGTTATAATATTGTATTTTAGATTTACAGAAGCTAAAACCACATTGATTGATAATAAAATTAATTTGGGAAGTCGCGCTTAACTTTTTTCAGTTATTAAACCACGTGTTACTCCAACACGATCATCACTTCTTGCTTATCGAACGATAATTTTTTCAATTCATTTATGATAAAAGAAATAATCCAACAAGTATTCACACACACAGAAAGGGAGAACAGACGATTTGGAAGAAACAGAAAAGGGAAAATTAATTTTAAGTTTCGTTGGTTTCTAGAAAATAAAATAAATCTAGAAAGAGCGTTTTATCCTTTGGTCCGGTATAACCAGCGTGTGAGGATGAGTCCTGGACGTTGAAGAAAACTCTTCTGCGTGAGGTTTCTCATTGAAAAGCGCGTCGCGCAACTTGCGCGAGCATTGAAGGATGATGGAGCCCTGGATGCTTACCTGTAGGGATTGTTTAGCAATTAAATATTGCTCCATTTAGGTAGATATTTTTCAGATTTTTTCTACTTTAAAAATAATATGGCGTTGAAGAAATTTTTTTGCTGGGAGAGAAAGTTAGCTTTTCTTAGAGAATTTTTTTCCCTAAAAGGAAAAAATATTAATTAAAAGGAAGTATGGAACACTGTAGGGAGATTTATAAAAACTGCAAAATATTTTTAAAATTACATTCGTTTCTTAACAGAACTAGAAATATATATTTTTAAAAAGTATTTTTTAAGGAAAAAGGATTTACTTAAAAATAGAATTTCCAATCATTGTTTTATATTTGTTGTCGATTTTTTGAGCGAAAGAAATTTCTTCTATTTTAAATTTGAGTGTCATAACTCAGCTTTTCTATTTCCTTCTTTTTTTAGTATCCTTTGGATATATTCTATAATGTAGAGGTTCAATTAAAAGAATTTAATAAATAAAAATGGATTTGTCTATTTTTACAAAAGCTTGAATAGAATTCCTGACTTATCTTAAATATACTTTTTCTCCAAATAAAATTTCAGAATCGAGAGAGATTTTTTTTTAAATTTTTTTTTATAACCGTCGTTGAACAGCCGAACCAATTTTGAGTTTACGACTACCAATATTAAACTCATAACCTTGTAATTTTGAACCGAATCCAGAAGACAAAGTAACTCCTGGATCAAGTAGTAGGAGAAATTTCCCTTCGTGGGGGCTTTTTGATGGAACTAACTCACATTTCATTTCATGGAGAGGGAAACCACGAAAACCTCCCGCTATTAACCCAACGGTAAAGAGATTCTCACCCATGATCCGTCTACAATTGAGGATATTTTTCGTCAACACTATGGTCGGTGCAAACCGGGTGCGGAATTCGTATCGACCAGTCATCGCTGTTATTCGAATCCAGGTCACCTCATTGGGAGGCGAGAGCTCTATTTCCTGAGCCACTAATGCTTTAAATGAAGCATGAGTTATTTACAAATAAATACTTAATTTTAAATTTTCAAAAACACAAAGTAAAATTGAAAAGCCGCCATTTCAAAGAAGAATATTAAACGAGCCATCTGAGAAAATCAAACTAAATGATTTTATATGTAACATTCTAAAGTTTTTATTTTTATTTTTTTTTCCTTTCTCAAGTATTATCACTAAGATAGGAAATAATTTTTCCTCTGGGAATTCATTAAAATTTTGTAATTATAACATTTCTAGTGCTATTGCACAAAAGTTGCAAAGAAAATAATTATTTTTCTAATATACATTAACAAAAAAAATCTTGGTAAAAAAATATGCGAAAGCTACTAATAAAAAATATTTTTTTGTATTACAAAGTTTCTTCAAAGGTACTTTTCAAATTAACAAATTTATACGATCATCTAATTTTCGAAAAAAAAGTGCTATATTTTTTTTTATTTAGTATACATAACATAAAGAGATTTGGGGAATATAGTGCTTCGCCACATTTATTTCATTTAGATATACATAAAACTTTCGTGATAATATTTCAAGATAGTTATTTACATACCTCCAGAATTTCAACTAGTTGTCAGCAAAATGCTCAAAAATATTGTCGCCAGCATTTAAATCGTATTCCTAACGAAAAACGTTCTTCAAATAAACTTGGCAGTGTGGCATATCGTTATATTACTCCAAACTGTTCTTGTAAGAAAAAACATACATTTATAACAGTATTACAATCGTGGTGTATTATAAAGTATACTTAAGTGAACTACGCACTATTATATTAACTACGTTATATCCATAACAATTATCCATAGCGATTAACAATATAAAAGTCCGTTATAACGACAATTCTCAATAATAGACGAAATAGTCGTGATAAAAATCGTGTCGTTATAAAAATATTATTAATATTAAAGCATATATAGAGTACAGCCTATTTAATGTTAAAGCTGTGTTATATTGAGTCTAAAATATGAAATGATATTGGTCACTTAAACAGTAAAAAATATATATTCCCCCCCCCCAAAAAAAAAGAAATATATATATGTGTGTAATGTTTGAAATACTTTTATTTTTCTTCAAGAATATAAATTCGTTAAATCATTTGATAATCTTCCTTCAAATTCCTTCTTTCTCAGATTTATTGATGATCTTTAGGTTATTAACACCGATGATTATGAAATTTTAGCTAAGCAAATTTATACAAGTGAATTAATTCTCAACAAAACTAATATTTGATTTCTTTTAGCAAATTTTCTAGATTTATCCCTTAAAATTTATGAAGATAGGAAAATTACATTTAAACTTTTTGACAAAAAAAAAAAAATGATTTTAATTTTCCAATTAAAAAGAGTATCGATTTTAATTCCAACTTCGCCAATAAGGTTTTTACCAATATTATTACCAATGAGATTCTTAGGTTTTATAGGAATTACTCCAATTATGAAGAATTTTTAAAAAAGACTGATAAATTTAAAATAGATCTAATTAATAACCATTTTCCTTATTCATTCCTTGAATTTTATTTTAGTAAAATTTTAAACCACTTAGAACATTATAAGATTAATACGTGTAGACTATTATGAAAGAATGTATGAAATATTAATTTACTCACAAATATTACCAATTTGAATGTTTTTTTCTTCCTAATGATTTTACAAATACTTTTTTAATTGTTTTTGTTAACTCCTTTATCCATTATGGGTTTTGTTGCTCAAATTTTCCAAATATTATTGCTATGAAATAGTTTTTTCATAGATGGCAGCACTGAAATGTATTTTACTTTATATATTTTTTACCAATTATTTTTGACGATAAAGCTAAAAGCACATTCAATATATTTTTTTTCCCTTAACAATTCTTGTTAGCTGTTACATAAGTATATCTAACTTTAAAGGCGTTTATTTTATTTCAGTTCATATCGGTAAGTTTGTTTCTGCTTTTCTTCTTTTACCTTAAACTCAATTAAAATTAAATTTTTTAAAAATTTTAAAGGCATGCACGCATTACAAAGAGTGATTTTAATCTTAGGGTAATTATTCTTTATTTTGAAATATCTCTTTTGCTTGCTTTCGTAAGGAAATGCCTCCTGATGAGAACTTTTACATCTTCATTAATTTTTTATTATTTCTCTAATTTCATTATGTTTCTACATATATATATCAGGGGTTTCCAACTTACATGAGGCTGGGGGCCGCAATTAAAAACACCAGTCAAATGGCGGGCCGCAACTTTACCAAAATTTTATCTAGGACTCTTTTATCTTCGAAGGAACATTAAATATTACCGTCAGATCTTTATCAAGTTGTGCAAAACAAACGTATTGAATTACAAATTAGAATTAGAAGTAGATTTTTAAGCAACATACACGATTATTTTTTAATTTGAATAAATATTTTCTTGAATGCAAAACCTGAGAAATAATTTTTTTTGCGTCGTTGGGATGTTAAATTTCTCAGAAATGAAGAAATTAAGGTTTTGTTTTTTTAACTAAAGAAAAGTATTTTAAACCCATATAGATTTTTTACGAAAATAGTCCGCAAAAAATGACAAATAATATGTTTTAGTTAGCGGGCCACAAAAAAGGCTTCGTGGGCCGCCAGTTGGTAACCACTGATATATATATATAATACAATAAATATTGATGAAATAAACGTAAAGGTTATCTTCAGGACGCATTCCTTGACTAGAGACATTTCAAAATAAAGAATTATTATCCTAAGACAAAAATTGCTCTTTATAATGCGTTTGAACCCCCCAAAAAAATTTTATTGTAAACGAATCGAAAATGAAAGAAGAAAAACAAAACCAACTTACCGAAATGAAATAAAGTTAAATAAAAAATGCGTTAAAATTAGATTGACTAATCTAACAGTTAACAAAATATGCTAAATTACTAAGAAGAAGAAAAAAAACATACGAATTTGCCCTAAGCTTTATGGTATAAAATAATT